AGCTCCTCAAGTGAGGAGGGCAATGATACGGATGAGGAGGAGGACGATGAAGAGTCGAATGGCTCCTTAAGCTCGGATGAAAAAAAGGAGGAGTGCAGAAGAGCCGAAAACATTTAATCGATTTTCGTTTTAGGCTTTAGTTCGTATGCTTTTGATCCTCAGGACGACGACGACATCCCGATCCTGTCCCCGGTGAGTGTCAAGGGAAGAGCGAAGAGAGACGGACAGAAGCCAGCTTTGAAGGAGGTCGAGCTTTATCTGTGTGGGTGTATGTGTGCGTGTGTAAGTTGACAGGTAAACCTCGAATCCTAATAGGATCTGAGATAGATGAGAATCACTTATTGTAGATATGTTTGCGTGTTTCAATTATCTCTGCTACAATTGATTGGTGGATTCACTCTCTGATGTGCTAGGCCACAAAGCGCCAAAACATGGTCCAAGTGGCAATGCTAAAGAAAGCTGAGAGAGAGTTTGTGCACCCGTCCCGGGAAGCTATCGAAAAGGCTTCATCCTGGACAATGCGGCCTCCACGCAAGACGGACAGCAAAGCCCCATCCAGCCTGCAGGTACTGCTGAAGGGTCAATTCTACATTTACCAAGCAGTTGAATCCAGGGTCAAGAAGGTGAATGAAGTACGAGGACTGGAGCACAAGGTGGGAGCTGGTCAATTTTTTGTTTGCACTCAAGTTTTGTTCTACAGGTGGACGGGGGCCATGGTGTTTCGCTCAAGTGGAACAACAATATCGTCGGAGCGCACGCCCCCCAATCATTTGTGAGTTCTGAATCAGAATACCAGCCCATTCGCAAAAGCCCTCCTGATAAGGTACCGTGTCGCCCGCATGATTGCTGGCTGGATCAAGGTCGAGAAGGACTGAGTGATCTGAGCTGAGAGCTGCCTGGCTCTCGACTCCACCAGAACGGTGAACTGGCATGTCGCCTGCACCGCCGGGATTTTGGCTAGGAGAATCAGAAGCAAAAGCAAGATCACTGTGTGCTTGCTTGTGGTTTACTGAGTTTACTGCATATGTTGCAACCGGTGGAGATGCGACGCAGCCTACCTTATCATGCCCCAGGGTTCAGTCTTGGCTTGAAGGGTAGAGTCCCGGCCAGAAACGGCCATGTGGGCCATCGGGAGCGGACCTCTCCTCTCTCCCTCTCTCGTAGCACAGCTCAACTCTTGCGGCTGATGGGTTTTCCTTTGCTTCTGCTGGGGTCTCAACTGACTGCATTCACCGAACCCGCCACTTCCAACCTCAAGTGCAGCTTCTAACCTCTAAGTCCCCAAGCCCTGAAACTCTAAATGAAAGCAGAGCCTATTCCCAAGCCCAATGCCCTGAACCCTGATAAGCTCTTTCCTCAAACCCCCAATTTAACGAGTTCATTAAGTACTTAGCCAATTCCTGTCTCAGGATCCACTGCTGTGACTTTATGAGACAGATCACACCGCGGGAGTCGCCTCTGGCACGTAGGGCTAGAGCCTCGGATCGAAGTACCTTTTGGACTTTAGTCGTTGACCAATGCTGCCAGGATCTGAAGCTTTTGGACTTATTCTCGGGCCAGGGGAACCTCTACAAAACATTCTGCACGGGCCTTGATTTCTGGACCTGATGTTCTTTCTGGATATAATTTGCTCATCGATTGCATGCTGTCAGGTGCTGATGGCCAAAGGAGGTCGGGACGTGCTTTCACAATCATTTACAATAGCGCAAATGGCTGCGTCTGGTCAGTGCCTATTTCGATATCGAAGCCCGGCCCGTGCACAATGATCTACTTTCTGTGTGCCTCGTCTGCAATCTTCAATACTCCCAGCTCACCCCGACGGTTTGAAAAGTCTTCTGATGCATATCTGAGCATATCTGCATCTCACTCAATTTGTGAATGGGAAACCCAGGCAAGGCTTCCTAAATGCTGTACGACTTACACTACGAGTCGAAGAGGATGGTCTGATTCACGCAGGCTTGCCCTGCACATCTTATGTCTGGATGAATTCGGGAACCCATCGTCGATCCGCGGAACGACCTCTCGGCGATTGCTCTCTTGCGTATGTTCGACAAGCGAATATGCCGTTTGACACATACAGTTGACCGTTTTGTCCGAGCTAGTGTGCTGGCCTTCTAAAGTGTAATTTCAGAAACCCAACAAGCTGAGATTGACCACCCGCACCATCTTGCTCCTGATGCTAGCAGTGGCCAGATCTGCTTATTGGCTGTTGGAGCAGCCGAGATCATCCCAATTGATCCATCACCCAGATTGGAAATATCTGGTCGCGACTTTGCGTTTTGTGGGCATCCGCTATTGGAAGCAAAGCTTGTCATGTGCTCAGTTTGAATAATCTGTTGGTTCGGCAGAAGCATACACTGTCTCTAGCTCGAGCAGGCTTGGACTTGTAGATCTAGAACCACACGAAATTTGTCGTCAATATTATCACCAATAGCATCATTTAGTGAAAACGTTCTCTGGGTTTCTACTGGGCTTGTACGAAACTACTAACTATCCCAAACCAGGAAACCTCCCTCGACTCCCTACAAAATCGCCACATGCTTTCCAGACCTCGACAGCTAGTCAGGCCTTGTCTCGTTAAGACTTTGGGCTCGAAGTAGGGGTTTAGATTTAGGAGTCAACAGAAGAAAATCCCCAAGGTTTCCCGAACCGTAGACAAGGCTTTCGACGCAAACTTCCCAAATTCATCTCTGCACCTGTGACCCGTACTGGAGTCATTAATGCGACAAATCTGAAGCAAGGCTATCCCAATGACCAAACAGTACTCCAAACCCAGATCCCAAACTAAACCGCTCGAAGCTCAACTGCGACCCAGTTGGATGGCGACTTGGGGCCACTTTGCCCCGAAGCCGAGCTTGGCAATGGGCATCACGTCACGGCCTCGGGGACGGAGGTTGGTTCCGAGTTGTCTGGTTGTTAGATTAGAATATCTGAGTGTGTCGGCAGGCCATGGGCAAGGAAATTGTATGCCAAGCTCACCCACAAAAAACGACGAGCACTCCATCTCTCATCGCTGGGTGTGGTGGTTCGACGCAAGAACAAATTCGGAGTCGAAAAGGTGCGGGGGTCTTGGCAAACACTGAGTGTCTGGCATATTGTAATTTCTCGGCTCTTCCTCGCAGCCACTCCCTGCCAAATTTCGCAACGTGTCCGGGCCCAGGTATGGTGCCGAGAAATTGAAAGTCACTCAAGTATATCCTCGTGGCTACGCAAAGAAGATCTTGCTGGAACACAAAGTGTGCAAGGACTGGCAATGCAGCAGTTTGTGTTAGTCAAGTCTGCATGCACAGAGGTCAAGCGGAAGTACCACCTACGCGCGGCAGTGGCTTCTGCACTGTACAATGCAGAGATCAAGAAGGCATCACAGATGGGCTCTTGATATGCAATCAACTTATGCAATTATGCACCTGCCAGGACGATCGTCGGTGGCACGATTGGTCCGGCGGGAATCTGGCCGATGTGAGAGAGTTCTTGCTGGCAAGAGTGAGAGATGGTTCTTTCGTGCCAAATTTCAGATCGGGGCTCACCTCTAATTTGGAGGATCTGGATTAGTGTGATAGCCTATTCTTACCGTAAAGGAAGATGAGCTAGGACCTAGATGTGATCTGAAACCTGAAACCCAAACCGACCCCAATCCCCAAACCAGGACCTACATCCCGGATCCAATTCCCCAAAACCCAACACAAGGGAAACGCAAATCATAGCATCAATCCAAACATCCCGAAAACAAACCCAAACTGATTTGTGATCTTGGGTCTCGACCTCTTCGAAACCCTGAAGCCTAACTTAATCCCTAGACTTGGCACTTGAACCCTTGCACCCGTCCTCCAGAAACCTAGATCCTTCTGAACCACGACGAGATATGAGGAGCCCCTATGATAGCAGCATCAGCCCAGACGTGTCACAAACAACCCGAACAGTCATTTCTCTATGATCTAGATTCTGAAGCAGTAATAAAAATAAACCCCCTCCCCTCAATGCCTAAACTTGACTTATAAATACACCCTAAATCCCTAAATCCAGCTCTGAAGGGCCCTCAATTGCTCTGAATCAGCACGTCTGGGCTGAAATTAGGTGGTTGCTGCTAGGTTGAAAAAGCTGCCAGCGTGAACTAGCATGAACTGTGCGTGAAAGGACCCCATTCACCGTGACAAGGACCCCGAATACCGTGAATCTAGCGTGAACCCAGGGCCACCCGATAATGCTTGTGATGCATCAGTGTTTCTGTGCCGATTGACAAGTTCATTGGTCTTCGCTTGCCGTTGATGTGGTTTCACAGGAGCCGTTTGAGCTTCAGGGATACTTTGGGCACTGCTGCCTTCCAGGAAGGCCTGTCCAACGGCATGCCAGTAGAGAAACGAACTGTAGAAGAGGCCATTGCCAAGGCCAAGAGTCGCCAGGCAAAAGTCAGGAGATTGATTCATGGTGATGATGATACTAAGCCTCCTGAGCCTGTTCCGCACGAGCCTCAATACGATGTTGTGCCTTTGGAGATTGAAGCTGATGATTTGTCTGTTCTTCTTATCCTGAATCAAACGCAAGGTCCGGCAAAGGGCTTGCCAAGTGCTCTGGTTAGGATCCTAGTTTATCGATGCTTTTTAAGCTCCCTGACACCCAATATTCCAACCCTGACCCAGGTCGAAACCCTGACACCCAGGAGACCCTGCTGGAGGAATCACAGGAGGCTGGCCTTCGTCTCTGTCGCAAGGTCTTGCCTGCGTCAGGTTTGATCATGGTAGTGAATTCAAGTGCTTCTGCTGATTATGGGTCCATGCATCTACGTGTGTCAGGCTGCAATGCAAGCACCGCCTGAAGACATGCAGCTCGAAACGAGTAAGGAAAACACGCCGACGCAAACCGCTGGACCCCCCCGCGGGAAAGGCACAGGCCACGAGATCCAGGAGACAAAGCCCAGTTCCCAAGGCAAGGAGGAACCTTCCCAGGAGACTTCAGGCAGGCAGGAGGTTTGCGAGCCAAGCGGGGAGCCAAAAGTTTCTAAGGAGCCTCCACAGATGCCCCCAACAAGGACGAGCAAGGTGAGAGAACAAGCGGTCAGGCCTGGCCAGAGTCTTGGGCTGGCCAGGGTACTTGGCAAGATTGGGGATACAATGGCTGGAGTGATTGGTCTTGGGGTGGTGGGTGGAGTGCCTGGGATTGGGGTCCGAAGCACCTGCCTGAGGATCCGAACCATGATTGGCGTCGGGGTCATAGCTTCGACTCCTCCGCTGAGGACCCGGGATCTTATCGGAAAACCTGGTCTTATGAATCCATAGGCTCCGGATCTGGGCTCCGGAAAGCAAGCAGCTTGGATTCCGGGATGCTGGCTGCATTCCGCAGGCTTGACACTGTGGACAGAACAGCCGACAGGAACTTGCAGTCATTGGCTGTGAACTTAGACAAGAAGTTTGCAGAGGCAGACTCCCCGGACAAGCCCAAGATCCCGACACCTTCAACAACCACGCCCCAAAGCTCTCCGCCGTCTTCAAACAACCTCCCCAGACAAGGAACCCCAGGAGACCTCAAACAAAGCACCGGGAAGTGAGAAGCCAAAGGTCGAAGCAAAGAGCGGCCCCGAGAAGGAGCAGACAGAAGGACCTAAGGCAAAGCAGGACCCCGGCACGGAGACTCAGGCAGCAGCAACAAAAGCCGAAAGCGGGAAAGCTGAGCCCGAAGATGATGAAGCAAAGCTTGCAAAGAAAGCAGCCGACCTCGCCCTAAAGAAGAAAGCTGCCCATGCAAGGTACATGAGATACTGGAGATCCGTGCACGGTGGGGGCCTTGGGTAAATTGTGTGCTGCATGAGTATGCGTTGCACTTATGACTTCGGTGCTGTTTCACTCTGGTCAGAATGCAAGAAGACTCCGCCTGAAATCCGAAAGATGGGGGCTGGTGCCAAGGGAGGCTACTGGGTCTGCATTTCGTTTGCTCGTGCCTCCAATGTCGCCGAATCCATCTCATTCATCGTATCACCTCAAGAAGTGATGCAAACTAGCAGCCAGTGTGTGCATGCATTCTGGTCACTTTTGCACTGAGATTCCGAGAAAAACTCAGTGTTATTCGAAGCCTGGTTGAATTGCGGTGGCAACTGGAGCAAGAGCCAGCTGTACATCAACTGCAAGACAAAGAATAGCACGAAACGGAAAGGAGTTCGCAAATGGATGACGCGACAAGACATCGAGAACAAGTTCGGTGCCGCCAATGCCGAGGCTATAATCTTGCGCAAACTCGGCGACGACAAAATCCGCGAGTTGGAGGTCAAGAAACATCCGGATCTCCCAGATTCGGTTGACATGATGCAGTTCCTCATTTTCGATTCTGAGGAAGAGATTGAACAGGAGGAGGAGGTAATGGAGATGCTTTACAAGCTTGCGGAAGGCAGCGACTCCAGCGAGTCCGCGACATCGAATGACAGCAGCAGCGCAGACAAAAAGAAGAAGAAGAAGAAATCTAAGCAGCCAAAGAAGGCCAACACACAAATCCTGGATTTACCTCTTGCTGCTACACCTCGCTTAATTCCACGCTACGCCCTCAACCTCTCTTGGCCCAACAAACCACTAAAACTCATGTCTTATGCTAGGAGAAGAAAGAACGAGGCAAGCCAAAGAAGTCCAAAAAAAACAAGAAAAGCAAGGAGGCTAAAGATGACAAGCAAACCGAAGCTGACAAGAAGATGCAAGCCACGTCCAAAGCCAAGTCTGCCTTGCCCCCAGCTGACAAAACTGGGTCACGTACCCCCCACATGGTCTCCGCTTTGGTCGCCATGCCTAGGTGATTGGGAAGGCCGGCAACAAGATTCGGGAGAAGGTTGGTCAGCCTCAGCCCGCACCACAATGGGCCCAGTCTTGGATATGGGGGTATTGAGGTCCTGGGTTTTGGGATGTTCTTAGTAATCGTGCTCCTACAATACAATAAGCCCTCGGCCTTAGCCTTGACCCCAATTTCGAGGCCCCAAGCGCCTAAGCCTACGAACCCCAAAAGTACTGACTCGGAACCCTTATATCTGGCCATGAGGTCCAAAACCCTAAACCCGGCCCAAGACCCTTAATCTCATAAGCACCAAAACCTCGACACCAATTGCCTAGGCCTAGACGCAAAACCCCAAACCCCTGGCCCGAGGCCCTTAGACTCAAACCCGACTGCGGGCACAGGCTCGCACGCCTGTTGACCCCAAACTGTGGCCCGATGCCCCTTATCCTATGAACCTGAATACCGGGATGTAAGTGCACAAACCATAGCCCCAATTCCCCAATCCCATAACCTTCAAAACTTTGGCTGCAAGATTATCAAGTTGCGGATTATCAATTGTTTGTCTGGGATGATCTCTGGGTTCTTGCTTTCCTTGAGCGAAACCAACTGCTTCAAGATGCAACCTCCAAAGGCTGGTCCTAAAGGAAAACGGTTCTTTGTATTCAAAGGTGCTACTAAGACGTTCGGTTTGGAGCTCATGCCTTAATTGGGGCGATTATATTGAAACTCTCAAATGTAAACCCCTAAACCCTTCAGGATGAACCCCGAAACCTGTATTTGGACTTGAATCGAACGCTGAACTGCTTCAGAACTAATGGTGGCTATGATTTCGAGACTGGTGAAAACCAGATCTGAATAGAAGGATGTTTCACATGTATACCCTTCGTGCCTTTTGGAGATGAGTTGCTTTACTGGCAGGTAGGAGTTCGGAGAGGTTTTGGGAGTGCTGGTGTCAGTTGGCTTTGATTTTTGTGTTTCTTAGGCTTCGGGTGCTAAGGGCTTAGGGTGCAGGCTTCTTGTGGTTTAACGGCTCAGTGTTGTTTGAAGAATGCAAGGATCTTAGGGTCGGGGATTTGCAGGCTTTATGGATCAGGCGGTTTCAGGCTGGACCGAGATCTCGTATAATCCATCAAAATGATCTTGAAACCTACATGTGGTGTATGCTACGTCGGGATCTCAAATAATCAGACTGTTCTAAGCCCCGAAACCTATCCCCAGATTGTTCCTAAATGCCCAGCGCAGGAAGCTGAGCAGCAGCTGATACATTCGAGAGCGGAGCTTCAAGCCGCTTTGGACACCAAGGCAGGTCTGTCACGAGAAGCTGTTCCCAAAGGGACGACACCAATATGATATGACTCAGGAATCCCAGGAGACCATCGAGCGTCTTACGACTAATCTGACGACGTCTATCGATGGTTTCGATACCGCTGCAACAGTGATCAAGGGCCAGGTCAAGCCAAAGGCTAAGGCCGCGGCCAAAACCAAGTGAGTATCAACCGCCAGCAGGCAAGGTCCATGAATGGTATGCAAGTGCACTTGGTTTCTAATTGTTTGTGATACAAGGCTCTTGTCATTGCTCAAAGGATTTGGGACTTTTGCTAGATCTGGCTTCGGGGCCTTGCTGCTGCTGGCTTTTCCTGATGCAAGCAGGGGCATGCTTGCGGGGTTTTGAAACATGTAGTTATAAGCTCTGAGCTTTCGAAAAGCCGGGATGTCGATCTCGAATATTCTAGTGGGACAACCTGCAATGGCATAGTCGCATGCCACAGAGCGCTTTGTGGCTTGCAGGCTGTATTGTGCTGTGACGGGAGACTCGTTTCCCTAGTTTGTGGAATCGGAGCAAGGTTTCACAGCTGCGATGCAGTTGCTGCGACAGTGGCCGAGAAAAGCTTCTTTCTTCATGAGATTCAATACCGAGATTCGCGATCCATATTATTTACAAAACTGGCTCCACTGATGCTGGCTTGCGCAGGTGATGATGAAGAAGGGGGTCACAATGCTACAGTGCAGGAGTTGCTGGAAAGGATCGGCGACCGAGAGCCTCAGCAAGTAAGTTTATTGTTTATTTATGGTGAGTGTTCGATTGTGTGGGGACTGATTATTGCTTCCTGCTTTTGTTGCCGGCAGGGGGAAAGCACACGCATGGCTATGCAAAGCGCAGGGAATACAACAAAAGCTGCTCGTCCTTCAGGTATTTGCATGTGGTATCAATTTAGAGCAGTTTGTGCTTTTTCTGGCTGAATACTTACTTAGGATAGCAAAGGTTCGTGCTCCAGGACAACAAAGAAGCTTGCAAGCTTTCGCTGCGAGAAAAACTCTTGCCGCGACTTCTACAAAGTTGTTCCGTTGCCTTTGGCTGCCTGGCAACACTGGAGTGCCGACAGTTCGTGCTCGTAGGCATTCCTTGTAGGCATTGGATGCTTTTCGATTTCCTGGTACAACCATTTCAGGACCCTGTGATGATCAAGCTTCCTGTCAAGCTGGAAAACGATGATCCAAAGCAAGAGGAGAAGCAGGGCTACATGGAGATTCCATTTTTGGATCCACATGATATTCTGCACTATGTGCACTCCGAACTTCAGCTGACGGTTGAGCCTGAGTCTGTGCGTAGTTACTGGCGACGAGCTGCTGAGACAGGTGTTGGCTGGGCAACCCAGCAGCAAAACTATGATGCAATTCCTGTGGGGGTTTATGCCGATGAAACCAAATATGGGCTGCATGAATCACAAGAAAAAATTCTAGCAGTTTTCGTGAATTTGGTATTGTTTCGGCCCCAGAATATTCGCTTGAGTCGTTTCTTGGTTTGTACGATCCGCTCCAAATTCTTATTGCCTGGTACCGCGACATTGAATCCGATCCTTCATCGGATTGTATGGTCCATGGGGTGGGCCAGCAAAGGAATCTTCCCCACGACGGGTTTCATGGGAGGGGCGTTACCGGCTAGCCAAGCGAACAGGGCAGGACAATCACTGGGTGCAGAATTTTATGTTACCGAGCTTCGTGGCGATTTGGCTTGGCACAAATTGGCTTGGGGCTTTGGGGATGGTTGGCAGTCGACAAACATGTGTTTTTTCTGCGAAGCCACGGCCACGGGTCGCAGAAAAGATTTATTCTTCGAGCACATTGGAGATGCAGCACCGTGGCGAAGCACAATTTTTCGAGACACTTTGGATTGGATGACAGCCAAGCTGGATCTAAACAAGCTCTGTTTCTTGACTGGGTTGCAATTGAGAGCATAAGAAACACATCACATATTTCAGACTGTTGAAACAACAGACTTCCCAGGCCCTTTCATTTTGCTCCCGAACTTTCACATCGACGTTATTAGGACATGTTCTATGCACAATGTGAACCTCGGCCTCTTGTTCACCGCGAATGGAAGCAGCCTGCTCTGTGGTATGAAGTAGCAGTCTTTTCGTTCCATGTCTACAGTAGAAAATCAGCTATTCCTATTTGCCGGCTGTGCTCACTAGGTACACACTGGCCAAAGCTGGCTGGTATGGAGATCCAAAAGAAGATCTGAATTTCTTGTTCGCCAAAGCTCATACAGATTTCAAGGCATGGACCAAACACAAAAAAATCTAGTCTGTGCAGCGAAACTTCAAGTATGGCTTGGATCCTCAGTGGTACATTGTACCTTTTTGGTAACCAGTTTTTGGTCGAAAGACACAATATTCCTTTGCCATAGACAATGACATTTGTCTGCTGCAGCTCATGAAAAAAGCGGGGACCTTGAGGATTCCTTCCATGAGCTGCAAAGCGTTTAATGGTCGAGTTGTGCTGGAGTACCTGGCTGATTGTTCCAGACTGGCGGCACGTGGGTCCCCGGCGACAGGTCAAGGTCGCAACTTTGGTGGCTGGTTGACCCGAGAAGTTCGAGCTGGCAATGCTTTGTACTCAGACGATCGACCCCAAAATTCCGCTACAAGCTGTTGCAATGAAACTTGTTCGCCCTTTACTACAACACCGTTTCGTTAGGGGTTCAATAGTCTTACCTTTTGATTCATGAACCACAATCTATCTTAGGACCGCCATGGCTCGCTGGTTTGGCCTGACAGAGAGGGCATCCCGCTTCTTGTCTGAGCGGGAGGCAAATCAAAAATATTCCGAAGGCATGCTCTATGTCAAGACACATGTGGAGCTGGCAGCGGTTTCCTGCAGGCCATATGAGCAATTTAAGTTTATGGTTTCACCGGGGCTTGTGTTTTTTAGGTATGGAAAACCCAAATATTCAATAGATGGTTATTTGGCAGGCAAATGGAACTCACTTGGGGCATCAAGCCCAAGATCCACACCTTCGAGCACCAGCTTTTGGAGACAAAGCGAACAAGTTGCTTGGAACAGTTATTGCTTTGGCTGGCTGTTGCATTTCACACAAATACAGATAGAGCTTGATTCCCGAGGACAGAACACGCGCTACCATCACTGTTACACTGATGAAGACAGCATGCGCTGGGTTAAAGGTCAGAAAGGCCAACCCAGCGAAATTGGAAATGGCAGTGATGAAAATGAACAGAACGCGCTTTGAGTCCATGAAAGCTCGAAAAGGAACCGATAAGGCCAAGGAGACGGCAAGGGGTCGTGCTGCCCGAGACAATCTGTGAACGATCGAAGACGAATGACGGCGATGGATTTCCGAGCAAATCGGAGGAAAAAATGAGACTGCATCCGTTGAAACCTTACTCCGTTCTCGTATGGTCATAACAACTTAAGCTTAGCCAGTTTGCTACATCACTTTTGGCGTACGTCGTGCCGCAATCACCACCTTGATCCTGTTTCTGTGGAAGCTGGCGAGATGGAAGGCCCGTTGATTCAGGTTTTCAGGTTTATTGTGGGACAGCAACCCTAAGGCCCTAAGCCCAACCCAATCCCAGGATTATGAATAGCATGCAGCTTATCGAGAATTCCAGTCACTTTGGTGTCCGATTGCCGACCTTCAGGCCCCAACTGCGTTTAGTTCATCCTCGTAGCCCAAATCCGAATGTCCAACTTGAGCCCGAAACACCGCTCCCCAAACACTTTGTAGCATGGCTTAATTTGTAGGGGCTTAGGAGTTTAAGGTTTAGGGTATGCCGAATCCGCCCCCCCTTGCCCTAGTCCTACTTCCAGCCTATGTGACCCTGATGTGCTGCTGTTCATTGGTCCCAGTGTGGTTTAGCCGGGACAAGACGGGTGAATTCAAGTTATGGCTCGATTTCTTATATGATACTGTTCGCTTTGTTAGAAATCGCAAACTTCTGAAAATCGCAAACAAACCGCTTGCATGAGAGGGTACCCCCTGATTTGGTTTTAGCGTGAATGGTTCCCGCGCCCTTAGGAGGGCTAGGGTATATATATATATATGTACATACATATATATATATACTGTGTGGCCGGGTGGGGCTTTTTGTGTCAAACAAAGGACCGGATGTTTACCAAGCACGTTTGGGAGTACCCGGACGGGGACATGGACCTGCCTCGGTGGATTCAAGCCATGAGCGAGATGAGTTTCCGCTTGAAATTGTACGGAGACGAACCTGTACCTCACGGAACTCCTGGCGGATTGCCAGCTCTTCGAGATGCA